GGAAGCAACTTACCCTCCCTCTTCTCATGCCTCCTCCTGGCTGAATGAGGGCTGGAAGCGGGGCGGCCGGAAGCAGGGGGCGGGGCTTCGTCATGTGCCCCGCCCCCTGCACCTCACCCGGGGGAACTGTGTTCCCCCGCGTTCCCCCCCGAAATGACCTCTGCTTATGACCTTCTCCAGTTAACTTCCTGGCTGCAGCATTCTGTACCAACTGTAGAATCCTGACAGTCTTCAAGGGCAGCCCCAGGTTGAGCACATTGCAGTAATCTAGACTAGATGTAACCAGGACATGCGCCACAGTGGCCGGGTCTTTTCTTCCCAGGAAAGGCCGCAGCTGGCTAAACAGTTGAAGCTTTTAAACCAGTTTCTTAATCTATAAAGAATTGCATAAGCCATCATCAGGATCTGCCGATTCTAATTTTACTATTCGTCGTCTTGGGTTTTTAATCCAGTCCACCATCCAGACCAGACCTGCTGCTTGGTAATATAATCTTATATTTGGGACTGCTCCTCCTCCTCTCTTTTTCTCGTCTTGTAATATTTTCAAGTTTATTGTTGTTGTTTTTGGTCATTCCACCTAAATCCATTTATCTGCCTTCCTTTCAATAACAAAAAAAGTTTAGTTTTGCATTCCTAGCAAGGGACACAACCAAACGACTTCCAGCATTTAACAAGTCAAACCCGAATGTGGGACTTTTGCCACCTTTTGAATCGATTATGTCTTTCATTTTGGCTCGAGGCCAAACTGGGAACTGTCCCTTGAGACTGGCATTTCGAAATTTGCTGTCTGAAACTCCTGTCAATATCAAACTTTTATTCTCTTGCCCCTCTCTCTTTTTTAGGAACTGATCCACCCATCGTGGTCACCGTCTTGCTGCCTCCTCTCTTCCTGCTCCTGTTGGGAATTTGCCTTGCTTATCTCATCAGGTCAGAACTTCTGATTCCATTTGATGAAGTCTCCCTTTCCAGCATGCTTCTTGCTTGGGAGACACAAAAATGGTGTATCTTCATCTTCACTCCATTTTCTGTTTTGTTCTGTCATGTTGAACTCCTTCCCCCCAAGTGTACACCCTTTTCCATTTCATTTCTGGGCCCGTTGCACTTAAATTGCATCGTAGATCAAGATGGGTAGTCCTGTCAGTCTGTCTGTAGCGGTAGAAAACATCATCAGGGTAACATCGGGGGAAGTCCTCGGCCTCTATGCTCTGTTGTTGGCTGTCCAGGGGGAACTGGCTGGCCGCTGTGTGAGACAGGAGGCTGGACTAGATGGACCCTCACTGGTCTGATCCGGCACGGCTCTTCTGAGGTTCTTAGGTTCTTACTAGCCATGGTGACTGAGGGGAACCTCTACATTCAGAGACACTAACCTTCTAAGTCCCAGAGCCAGGAGGCAGCATCAGGGGAAGGCCTCTATGTCCTTTGATTGGCCGTCCAGAGGAACTGGCTGGCCACTGGGTGAGGAAGGATGCTGGTCTAGGTGGACCCTCACTGGTCTGATCCAGCAGGGCTCTTCTGAGGTTCTTATCAGGGGAAGGCCTTAGCCTCTCAGCCCTGTTGTTGGCCCTCCAGAGGAACTGGCTGGCCACTGTGTGAGACGGGATGCTGGACTAGATGGACCCTCACTGGTCTGATCCAGCAGGGCTCTTCTGAGGTTCTTATCAGGGGAAGGCCTTAGCCTCTCAGCCCTGTTGTTGGCCCTCCAGAGGAACTGGCTGGCCACTGTGTGAGACGGGATGCTGGACTAGATGGACCCTCACTGGTCTGATCCAGCAAGGCTCTTCTGGTGTTCTTATCAGGGGAAGGCCTCAGCCTCTCTGCCCTGTTGTCGGCCCTCCAGAGGAACTCGGCCTCTGTGTGAGACAGGATGCTGGACTCGATGGACCACTGGCCTGATCCAGCAGGGTTCTTCTTAGGTTTTAGAGGGACTCGGCCTCTGTGTGAGACAGGATGCTGGACTCGATGGACCACTGGCCTGATCCAGCAGGGTTCTTCTTAGGTTTTTATGATTGTCCTCCTTGTCAATAATCCCATTGATTAATAATGAGAAAGCATGGCTACTTACTCCAATTTGCACATAGGATTTTCCTGTCCTTGGTGCAGGAAAATGGGACTCATTGTAGTGTTTGGCCAGCTCTGTATTCCAACTCCCAAAACCAAAATAGGACCCACGGTAAGTAGGAAATACCAAAAGTCAGCAAATGCCGTGCTACGGGAGTAGGAAATACCAAAAAACCAGCAGATACCGTGCTACAGACGATTATAAAATATCTCACATAATTTTTATATAGTTTTTGTCTTATATTTTTACAATTTGTCCACCATATATTATTTATCATATAAGCCTTAATACATAGAAAGAATCATATATCAAAACATCTAAGTATCGTCTCTTAACATATCACAAAATTTATTTATTTATTTATTTATTTTATTTATTTGATTTTTATCCCGCCCTCCCGCCGAAGCGGCTCAGGGCGGCTTACAACAATAAAACAATAAAACAACTCATCTAAAACAATCTATACAAAACATTAAAACCACAATTTACACACAGTATAACCTACTCAAGATGACGACCATAAAGTGCTACATACTCAATCCAAGTTGTTGAATGCTTGGCGGAATAACTCCGTCTTCACCGCCCTCCGGAATTGCACAACCCCTTTATTAATATCAGTCCTCCTTAATTATACAAAAGTTTTAAGAGGGAGGACGCCTTTAAGTCTATTTTGAATAAGTACCCAGTCTTCCTCCAACAGAGGTCCAGATATCCTCATGTTTCGTTGTCTTCCTCAGGGAGTTCAACAGATATTTCCAAGCACGAGGTTGTCAAATACTAACCTAAAGGCTTATATGATAAATAATATATGGTGAATGAATTGTAAAAAAATATAAAACAAAAAAAATATAAAAATCACTTGAGATATTTTATCACCGCCTGCAGCACGGTATTGGCTGATTTCTGTATTCCAGCTCCGTCGTCTCTGAGAGTCCGCTCCATGTTTTGTCCATCACCTCGCCTGCGAGCTGCCGGGCCTTGAACTCACCAAGGGAGTTCTACCGGGAGGTCTTGATTGGTTAATGACCGCACACTTCAGGAAGGATATTTTGCTAGCTAAGTGCTAAACATGGGGGTCGTTATCCAGGCCAGGTGTTCGAAAAGTCCTCTGATACTTCAGGCCGCGACAGGCATTCGCTGATCGCCAACTGAATGCTTATTTAAAAAAAGGATAATTACACACCCTCCTATGCAGAGATTCCCCCAAGAGCAGTTAGCTATAACCTTTCACATCAAATCCAAAAGGGTCCGGAACTTTTTGCAACCTCTTCTCATCTACAGCAGAGGCCATTTCCAGTCTCACAGGACTCTTCTTCGTTCCTACCTGAAGAATTCAGTGTTGAAGAAGAACAGATTGGATTTGTACCCTGCCCTTTACTACCCAAAGGTGTCTCAGAGCAGCTTACAAACTCCCTTTCCCTTCCCCTCCCCACAACAGACACCTTGTGAGGCAGGGGTCAATTCCTGCAGGAGCGCACAGGAGTGGCACTCTGGCAGTAAAGAGCCCAGGGGTCGGGCACATGCAACAAGCCCCACCCCCTGCTCCCAGCGGCCCTCAGTCAGAGCAAGAAGCAGCCAGGTAAGTTGCAGGGCTCCCTGATCCAAAACAGTCCAGTGGCACCTTTAAGACCAAGTTTTATTCAGGTACAAGCTCTCCCTCCTCTGCGAGGACAGATCTGCACGTCCCCCCCCCAATAGCTAGCAATCCAAAACAGTCCATGGAGCCTGAGCAGTGGGTGTTGCCTTCTGACACACTTCTGGTGATGTCAGGGAGTGCCACTTAAAGGTGCCACTGGACTGTTTTGGACCCTCAGCCCTGGGACTCTGAGCAGCCGTTCTGTGTCTCGCAACCCCCCGTTTTTGCCTTCCCACCTTACCTGGTGGGGCTATTTCCCTTCTTCTTCTTCTGAGCCTGCTTCTGCAGGGAGGTTGGGGTACAAATCAAATCAATCAATCAATCAATCAATATTATATCAGAAATCTGAAGGTTCCCGCAAGCTGAAAAGTCGGGGACCCCTGTCCTAACATTTCTAATTTGTTGCATATAGGCTGTTGCATATAGAGAACAGAGAATTTAGAGGGACACGAAGATAAAAATATTTGAGTTGCTGCCTTAAAAATCTAACAGCAGTTAAAACACTTTGTGGCTCAAGAACTGGAATGTAACCGAAGTTCAAACTTCATGACGACATTCCAGTCGGGTTCTGACCTGTCCGTTGTGCTTTTGACAGATGGGGGGATTAGATATGTGTTGACTGGTAAGAATATTTCGAAGTCCCCCCCCCGCCCCCGGAGACATTTCCCAAGTCTTATCCAAACTCCCTTTTCTTCCCGCTAACGTTTCCCAAAGTGGGAACCTTTAATTTTGCCTTAAAGTCATGCTTCAAGCGGAGTCCGTAGAATTTCTCCTCCCAGGATTTATTCGGTTCGACCCATTGTGAGGAAGAATTTCTTCCCTAGTCCTGAATTCCCAACTGGGTGGCCCGGTGTTGCCGAGAGGCAGAAGACAATAGTTAAACCCAATCACCTAGGGTTGCCAACTCCACATTGGGAAATTCCTGGAGATTTGGGAGTGCAGCCTGGAGAGAATGTGGTTTCGGGGAGAGACAGATCTTAGCAGGGCAAAATAGAATCCACCTTCCAAAGCAGCCATTTTTTCCAGGGGAACTAATCTCTGGAGCCTAGGGATTGAAGAAGAAGAAATTGGGTTTATACCCCGCCCTTCACTACCCAAAGGAGTCTCAGAGCGGCCTACAAACTCCTTTCCCTCCCCCTCCCCACAACAGACACCCTGTGAGGTAAAAGAAGAAGAAGAAGAGATTGGGTTTATACCCCGCCCTTCACTACCTGAAGGAGTCTCAGAGCGGCCTACAAACTCCTTTCTCTTCCCCTCCCCACAACAGACACCCTGTGAGGTAAAAGAAGACGAAGAAGAAATTGGGTTTATACCCCGCCCTTCACTACCCAAAGGTATCTCAAAGTGGCTTACAATCTCCTTTCCCTTCCCCTCCCCACAACAGACACCCTGTGAGGTAGGTGGGGCTGAGAGAGCTCTTGACAGAAACTGCTCTTTTTCAAGAACAGCTCTGACAGAACTATGTCTTGCCCAAGGTCATCCAGCAGGTGCGAGTGGGGAATCAAAGACAGTTCTCCCAGATTAGAGTCCGCGCATTTAACCACTACACCTGACTAGCTTGCAATTCCAGATCTTCAGGCCCCATCTGGAGGTTTGGCAACAAACGGGAAACACGGCAAGGTTGAGTAATGTGGAAAAACACAGACAGTTCTGATAAGCTACCATGCCTTCATATATTCGTTTAAATCATATACTTAAATGTACAATAAAGACCCTAGTGTATCTTGTTAATTATAGTACATTAATAGCAAAAACCTAAAGAACAATATAGATCTTGTAGAAAAGTCCACAGCTACAGAGATGAATATGCAGACAGCTTCCAGTTTGCATCCGGGCTCCATTCAAGGTGCTGGTGTTGACCACCAAAGCCCTTTACCGCCTGGGACCAGCATACTTTAAGGACTGTCTCCTCCCCTATGAACACACCTGTACACTCTGGTCATTTTCAGAGGCCCCGCTTCAATTGCCCCCAGTATCTGAAGCTGGACAGGTGACAACCCAAGACAGGGCCTTCTCAGTCGTGGCACCAGAACTTCGGAACTCCCTCCCTAGGGGGATTTGTCTGTCTCCCTCTATTGGTGTCTTTTGCCAGCGGGTGAAGACTTTTTTTTTGTTTCGTCTGGCATTCCCCCAGTATTGGCTCCTGGCACTCCTTCTAGTGAGCCAGTTTGGTGTGGTGGTTAGGAGCGCGGACTCTAATTTGGGAGAATTGGATTTGATTCCCCACTCCTC